GAGTTCAATTTCTGGTGTCCTCCCAACAAAAGTTAAAAAAATTGATAGTTCAAATTTTAAGTCCCAATTTATGCCTTACAATTATTTAGCAAAAGAAGTACATTTAGATGGGATTTATAAACTTCATTTCAGTACTTTTTGACCTATACTGTCAAGGGTCATGTATAACTCAGATATTCTTTCCAACTGTTCATGTGTATAACGTCTTAAAAACAGTAAGTTCCTTTTTCATGATTATTTCAAGGTTTTAAGATAACTAGTCACCAAAAAATCAGTATTAAGTAGTATAGAGGATTTTTCCTTATCTATAGGTACTTTAAAAAATATTTTAACTGTCTTTACTCTAGAAAATGAATGGGCATTTCTATGGGCAAGAATAAAAGAGATCCCAGTTGTAGACCGGCATAGTATATAGCCTAGTTAAATCTCTTGGATTGCTCACTGGCACTAAGTCATAGCGAGTTTCCTTTTTTTCCCCTCATTGGTACTTAAACATATTGGAATTTCTTTTTTAATCACTACAGGTATTGAATAAACTCTTTAATATGAAGGAATGCCTTCTTTCAGTTCTCTGTGCAAAAGCAAAACTACTAACAATACACTCTAAAAAAAGAAAATATTTTGATTCACAAAACTAACAATCAGCAGTAAGGCCTTTGGGGAAGCTGATTGCAAAGATCCTACAAGAGTTAACTTGTTTGAGTTGTAATCATAATACAGGGGCTAATAGTAAGTCCGTTCCTAAAAAATATTAATCAGTTCCAAGGATACAATGTATTTTGGAACTCTAAAACATTATTTAAAATGATACTTTCTGGTTTTCAAAATATTTTTTAGATTGTTAGAGGTTCTTCTACTCTAATATTTGCAGTTTAGAAGGCAAGATATAGTATTATTGATATGAAGATGTTTGAATATGGTTGTTTACAGCTTCACATAACTGTTCTTTTAAAAAGCTTTTCGAGGTCAAATTTAGTCTATTGCTTTTGAGACTGAAGAATTTTTAAAGTTCATATGAAATTCCAGGGCTGTTTTCAGTGATCAAAGCAAAAAGTTTTAATTGTATTTTCACATATATAGTTTTTATCTAATAATATAAAATTCATTGATTTTATGACTGCCACCAAGAAAGTCTACATCTAATACTGTCTTTTAAAAGTTCTATGTATTTCAGTGACTTGTCAAAGGCATACATGTTCTACATTTAAACAAATATTTAATCCTGCGCATCCTTCAAAGGAAATTAAAATAAAAGTACTTGTTGTACGAAAACTTGGCCTTTTGGCCTCAGAAAACATTATTAAAATTTTGCATGAGCTGTAAATGTACTACCACTTGGGCCTAACACATGAACACATTTAGGCAAAAGCCAGACTCTAAGAGAAGTACTTACCTATGAACAAAAGAGCAATATGACAGCTATTTTGGAAACAGTTCTTATAAATTTCCCAATTTTTATGTCCACAAATTCATAACCACCTTGTTTACTTTTCTTTTTTAAAAAATTAACCTTTTGAAATCTATGCCTAGGAATTAATGCTTTCATTTTGTACATTAAGTATGATTAGAGTTATCAGCTCAGATTCTGTTAGAGTATTAACAATTGGTAATATGCCTAATCATACAAAATATATATTCAATAAACATGGAGCACAGGTGTTAATATTAACATTTACACAGTACTGCCCTGTGAAGTATTCCCTTTATAAATCAGATATCTTGAAAATTTTCTATTGACATTTTACAGCTGATGAAAGGAAACAAAGAATTAGAAAGTGAGAGGAGAAAAAGCTAAACATGATTAATAGGCGCTTGTTTCAGAAAGACCCTAGGGAAACCTTTAAACCTTTCATTGCTGCTGTGTTCTCTCAGTACAAATGCCTCTCTGAGCTTTCAGAGCAGGGCTGAGTAGTCACGCCACCGGTTGCTTTGCGTTGTTACTGTGAACCGAGGTACCCCTCACGCACTGAGGCATGGTTAACGCTGACTGTTCTCAGCACCCCCTCGGCACCTAAATTATGCCAAAGAGGAGAATGTTTCACGTTCAACTGAACATTGCAAACAAACGTCCCTAAAGACCGAAACATATTTCTCCTACTGAAGCTTTTCCCTCCATCCTTCAAGATATTGAATTTTTTTGCTCTTGGCATTGATCAAAAATGCCTATTTGGCTTCACACTTTTGTTTTTTTGTGAGCTGCTCCAAACCAACTTCATACAAATACAGAGATTTAAACTTCATACAGGATTTTTTTTAAAGTTATAGGTATCCTTCAAAAAGTAATTCACTTCTAGTAAAGTTCATGTCATTCCTCGCCGTGAATTTTACAGAGGACCATGTGCATGTATTTATGAAGGGCTTATTAAAACTGGACCCACGGATGTAGTGAATAGTGTAGCTACAAAGCGGATCGCAGCTTGCTTTTGGAAGGTATTTATTTGCAGTGGCGTATCAACATTTCAATAACCCTTTCACTGTGCTCATGAATAATGTATTCCTCTCCCGGTTTCGGACACGCACGCTCTCGATGCGTGCATCTCTGGGCATACACGAACAAACGCAGAAAAAGGAATCTATTGCCGAGTTCCAGAAATGACAAAGGAGAGGGAAAAACCCAGATTTATGGAATTAGGTGTCTCCAGCATCCCTCACAAAAAGGCAGCGCTTCCAGATTACGTTGCTAGGTTTTTCTTTTGCAGAAACAGACAAAAATCCAGCGGCCTCACAGCGAAGCGCCCCGCAAGACCCAGAGCAAAACGGGGTGCGGGGAGGGGGTCTGGGGGCGGGGCTAGCCGCCGCTGCCGCGGTCTAGGGATCCGAGAGCGCCGGTTCTAGGTGAGCGCAAGGCGCGAGAAGAAAGCGCCGAGAGCGCCCACAAAGCCCCGGACCGACCCTCTGGGCGGGGCTCGCGGCTTGGAGGTCGCACGCCGGGGGAAGGTCTGGGGACGCGGCGGGCGCGGGGACGCGGAGGCCCCGGGCGGGGAGGCCCCGCAGCCCGCGCC